GATTTTTGATTATGTCTTTTGAGTTCTTTGATTACGGACATTTAATAAAGTGTTTGTGAATTTTTTATACATTGTGTTTCTATTATTACTAGTTTAGTTCCTTATACGGTAATTTAAGTCACCCGAGGTTTATCTTAAGTGCCGCAGATTCCTTCTAAACCAAGAAGTTAATCTGAGCTTTTTGAGATTAACATCGGCTAGAGCGCGCTTAGCGGAAGTGGGTGATTGTCTATTTTGTAAATTAATGTTAACCTCTATATCTATATAGTTATCTTCAAGCTCATTTTGTATCCTCATATGCTTTTACTAATAAATTTTGCCTTACTTCAAGCTCATTTTCATTTTCAATATCTACAACCCTTTCCAAATATGTTTCTATTCTTGTTATTTTTCATTTTTCCCTAGCCCGTTTTCTTTTAATTAAATCTATTTGTTCTCCTATTAATCTCAAAATGTACAAATTATTGTAACGATAGTTTAATTTATTTATAATTTATTTATTTAAAACACACTATTTACAATTTATTTATATAATACTTAGGCACTAACTCACAATTTCAATTTATTTATTACAATTTATCTTTTCAGTCCAATACTTTATTCAAAACTACTCGTCCGTCGATAAGTCACGCTATTTATACCAAGTCCAACTCTGTACGAGAAGCTTCTAGACGATGTGGAATGTCCTAGAATTCCATCTCTATGACTCAACAGCACGTACTGCTTGTTCTGGTAGTTTCTCGATCGTTTGTCTCTCTCTATACGTCAGCGGTGTTTCGACCATGAGTCTAGTGGCAGGCTGAAGGCCGCGCTGTACAGGGACGGCTTAGGCATTCCCATGACATCTTTACAAATGATTTTAACAAAGAAACAATATAACTATAAATTAAATTAATATAACTTGAAAAAAAGAAACTCTTCCCTTTTCCTCTGTTATTGATTTATCCAATTGGAATTTCTTCTCCTTCCTTGAAAGAACCTTTACAATCCTTTCTGTGCTTCAAGATACGTTCGAAGTGCCAATGTATAAGTCGATGTTTTATACTTGCCTTTCGTAGTGGACTGTATCTTGTACCTAGATGGAAAAAAAACACCGCTTCAATTTTACCTTCTATAATGGCCAAACATGAAGAACAGAATAATTGGATCGTTTGTCTCGAGTCATTAACGGATTTCAATTCAATTCTATTTTATTTTATTTTTTCGTTTCCCTAGTATTCTCGCCATAGGCGTATCAAAAGGTAGATTTTGCAGTGCTCTGCAACAAGTGTTAATTAAATTAACAACGAGTTTTGTGACTTGTTTTTTTTTTTGTTTAAGATACAGTTGGGAATTAGTCCCAAAATATCTGACAAATAAAGCATGGCTTCCTTAGAAAAAAAATGGGACCAAACTTTACGAAGTGTGATATATCGGTAATACTTAAATCTTTTACGCATTTGTGGCCTTTCTAAAAATTGAAAAATCCAGTATGGCGGCCCTAAGAAAAATGAAAGTCGAGACAGATTGCAGGATAACAAAAGACTATTGAGACATGTCATATACGCTATCTTATTCGTCTTAAAAAAGTGTCCTAATAATGTCACATTTTGACAGCTGTCAATATTATTCGTTTCGGATTTACAGGCGAAAAACGAAATCCGCCATTTTCGGTTTTTCGCCAATATTTCCATAACTAACTGACCGATCGTAAATCTGAAGCCGGTTATCAAATTCAGTAAGTTTCCTCTTAAACTTTTCCCATTTAATCTGTGCTGTAGGTATAATAGGAGCCGAAATCCCTGTATAGAGAAGCGAATCTGGGACACACTGTATTGGTGAGGAAAATTTGCCTTTCTAAAGTTGTACCTAACAATGTTGACAATTATACTCAAAATCTGGATTTGATTTTGGAAGGCAAGCTTCGATTCTTAGTGCGGGATGATAAAACAGTCCTCCTCTACAAATGGTTGAGTATCATTAAGTACATGACATTCAATATTTGATAAAACTAAATCTAAAATATGATCATTTTTATTAAGTATATAATTATATACATATATAATTATAATTCAAGATTATAGAAACTTATAAAGTTGTTTAGGTATATTAAATTTTGGATTTTATTGACAAATTGTGGATTGTTGAACATAGGTTGGTTGAAATCTCCCAAAAAGTACCCTATTATCATATATTAGGTCCAAAGTGTAGAATAAATAATAAACGTGCTAATTAACATTTATTCATAGGTTAATAGAGAGTTATTGCAAGTTCACTTAAGGTCAGTCACTATTAGTGCCACTCTTATTTTGACATCTGAGCATGCGTAGATCACTAACTTTAACAAAGATTGTGCATGTCCTTAAAAGAGAGTTATTGCAAGTTCACTTAGGGTCAGTCACTCTTAGTGCCGCTCTTATTTTGACATCTAAGCATGCGCAGATGTTTATGCTCTAAAACTGACTTTATTAAGGATTGTGCCTGTCCTTAATTGTGGATGTTTAAGGGCAGCAGGTAGTGGCGACTTTATAGCTTTCGGATGCACTCGTCATTTAAACCTTCTAAAATTATAATTTATAATGCCTCTTTAATATTAGGTACTATTATAGAATTTATTTGACTCTAATTACGATGTCACTATTAGTGGCTGGCTTTATAGAAATTTGCAATATCTCTCTATTAAGGATAGGCACAATCTTTATTAAAGTTAGTGATCTGCGCATGCTCAGATGTCAAAATAAGAGCGGCACTAATAGTGACTGACATTAAGTGAACTTGCAATAACTCTCTAATAAATACATAAGTGCGATTCGTTTTAACCACGTTTCTTGCTTACCTAACCTCACTTGCTGTCTACCAACCCCTAATTGTATAAAAGTAACTAACATATATGTGTAATAGGAGTTGCTTAACACCACACAAAGTTTCTAATGTTTGCAGTAAGTTTTCAAAATTGGCATTATTGGAATCCGGCATATATATTACAAAAACAAATAAGGTAATATATGTTTAAACATAATGCGTTAGATTTCCGATTCTGACACCGTGGTATCAACATCGAAATGGCGGTCTCAGAATTGGAAGTCAAGTTTGTATGTTTTCGATAAAATCTTTAACAAAATCGGTCATCGAAAAGTGAATATTGTCTTATGTGTTTAGTATTTGTGCGTCAAGTTTTTTTGAATTTGTATGTAAATGATATATAGTGAATATAGCTAGTAAATTAAATTAATATGATAGAGAACACGTTCTCAAGTTTATGGTCCAATTAGTAGAATATCAGCTCCTGATGTTTTTAAATTAGTATAATCAATGGAAAAGAGCGAACATGGATTTTTCTATGGGAAGATGGAAAATTTCAGACGTTCTTTAATGAATATTCCTGTAATATAAGCTAAATTACCTGCTCTGGCTAAATACCTTAAGGGTGGAGGCCAAAAACTAACAGAAGAACATAATGCGACATCCTACAACATCTATACTACCAAAATCCACATAGTATTGAGAAAGGTCAACTTCTGTTGCTATACACTCATTTTTAATAGCTAGGATTACGTCTCCTTTTGTGGACTTTGTTGAAATTAGGTCCCTGTTCTTTCTAAATACTGTGTAGTTGGTATGAAAAAGTTCACTATTGTAAATTCTGGTTGCAACCATGTCTCTGTTAGACCAACAATTTGATAGTCACAAGTGACAGATGACTTGTAAAAATTACGGTTTTTAGAGTTGAGCTCTTTTGCGTTTTGGTAATAACAGTAAATATAATTTAATTTATTTCTGCTTGGACATTGTATTTAGTTTTTTTTATTATTTTTGATTCAACATTATGGTGATTAATTTTCAGATTCTTTCCGTTTTCAGTTCATTTTTTTGGTATGGATTCGCATATTAAACTCAAAATCTCTACATTCATCTTTTTACTTATGTACTCGTCATGTGTTGTGAAAGGTTGCAATGAGTGGCTAAAAAGACATTTACTACATTTACATACAATTTGCACTCTTATTTATAAATCGAGCAATAGAAGTGATATTCGAAATTATAGACTGATTTCAATAGTATGCGCATTTTCAAAAACTTTTTTGGAACAAATAATATTCGTTTGTTGAAAGTTCAGTAAACCAACAAAAACATTGTTTAATGGCTAAGCCTTTGACTGTGTGAATGTTTTGTTGGAAAAAATTCATGAATTTGGTTGCACTCAAAGTGCCATTAATTTGTTTAAAATTTTTCCTCCTACGTTATATTTATGATATCTCTATCAGTTTTCATACTATTTTAAGAATCCGACCTTAAAGATCTTTTCAAGCACTTTAAAAAGCTTAAATGAGTTTTTCTTTGTCGTTTTTTAAAAAGATTACTGTCCAAATTTCACGTCAATCAGTTTAGTTCGAAAGAATTCGTAACGTAAAATCGTCAAACACTGGACTAAATTAATAGACCGTCAGATAGTGACCGATTTAGGTGCCCCATTTTCGTATACAAGCTTCGAAGAGAGTTGAAAAGTACATCGATGTTGAGTAGAATAAAAGAAAATTTACGAGTGGCTCTTGGGGATAACACATAGAAAATTCGATTTTCCTTATCAGAAAAATTTTCTGACACCAAAATGCACTTATACATTCGGGTCATTCAAGAAAATAAGTTTTTCGGACTAGTGACGATGTATGTTTTCATAAATTCGATGGGCTTGTGTGGAAAAATCTGGCAAAATCTCGAATTTTCCTTAGAAGATTACGCCTTTATTTCAACTTGCAACATTAAAGCCTTTGATTTTCCAAAGCCTAGTTCTATTAATTAATCATATAGTGAAAACGGCTTGTGGGAAAAAATGGGCAACAAATAACCTTTCGTTTTTGTTAGGGAAAATCGAATTTTCCATGTTATCCCCAGCAGCCACTCGTAAATTTCCTTTCATTCTACTTAAAATCCTCTTCAAAGCTTGTATGCGAAAATGGGACACCTAAATTTGTCACTATCTGACGGACTATAACTTAACTGACTGTTGATTCATTTTTTAGATCGTGAAAAATAGGTATAGCGGTGATTTAGGCATAATGCCTTTAGAATTTGATAAGGCCAGTTTGAGTTTCCAACAGAAGAAGGCGAAGGAGAAAAAAATCGACACACTTCTATTACCTCAACCGAAAAGTGATATATCTACACCAAAACTCTAAACCAGTTAATTGAATATTAATATATATTTTATTACATTTTTAAATTTTGTATTGCAACTTATTAAAGTGATATTTTTCTCGATTTTTGTCTCAATTACTTTATAGAATAATAGCTAGCAATAAAGAGTGTTTTAAAAATGATGTAATTTTTCTAATAATTCAATGAAAAAATCAATATTTTTTTCATATCCTCAAACAGAGAAATGATCCTATCAATATTAGCATTGTAGAAGTCAATGACTTCGATATGTTAAGATTTCTTTCCCTTTTTTTCGTCCTTTCAACCATCCCTCTGCTTCTCCCAAAGAGATTCTGGCAGACTCCTCCAAATCAGGCTTTAATCCAGCCATTAGCTCCCCTCAATCAAGCTTGGGGTTCAGTCTGCTTACCCTCCTGTTTTAGGTTCACATGGCGGCACTGTCCTATTGTGCCACCATTTGGATACCCTACTCCTTCCTATTCATACATTAATTCCATGTCGTTAACCACTTAATCCGGAGACATCACAGCTTAGCTACCGCGAGAATGTGAATATCATTCCAATAATATTCCCTTACACCCAACCTAAAAGATGGCGGCTATGATGCACCTGTAAATTATTTTGCCTTTTTCTTATTTTTCTTTAAAATAAAACACTGACGTACAGTAATTATATAATTTATTTACTAATTACACACTATGCACACACGTACTTACAATACATTACAACTTTGGGTTATCTATTAACTTGCAAAAATATGTGTAAAACGGCTAATAGGTGAAACTGAGTGAGTCAATGAACCGTTTTGTTCAAGGGATTATGTAAAATGTTAGATTCTATTAAAGAAACTTTCGAACAGTTTGGCTTCTACCGGCATCTTTCTGATTGGCTGAAAACTATCGTACCATTTTTTTAGATCGTCAATACCTTGTTTAAAGAGAGATAAACTGTTGGACAGACAAACTTGTATTAACACTGGTTTACATTTACAATTTCACGGATACGTGCATATGAACATTGAATTATTTACTGGCAATGAATTTATGTGTACAAATGGATTATAGATTCGTTTTTAACACATATTTACTTTGCAAAAATCTCATGGTATTCATAGAAGTGGCGGTATTATCTAAAGAGTATTAACTAATCTTTTTACTAGTTTAATCATCGATTCTGTGTTGGATTTTTAATCATTCAATTGAATAAATTAGTGTTTTTCCTTATAAGCACTTAAATTTTAATACCTTAAAATAAAAACCACCAAACCAAAGACCGTTTTTTACATTTCTCTCTCCATTGATCATCCTCTTGATCCCACCCGAATTCTCACTTCGCGTCCACTCGGTATTCTTCGTCATGATCACCGTTATTGAACAATAATTGGCTTTTAAAATGGTCCAGTTACACAAACCAAAAGGACAATTTTTATTATTTCTATTCAAGGGGAACCTTTTTTGATTAAAAAACGATAAAAACAATAAAAAACGACAAAAAATGTTAAAAAACGATAAAAAAATTATTTTTTTCTTTAATGATAAAAATAAAATTTCTATAAAGCCTTTTCTGAGCTATCGCGCCAACAGACAGAATGGGGAAACATGTTTTTCGTAATATAGGGACCCTGAACCATGAAAATCTAAAATAATCTTGGAAGGTGGCTTTTTCACGATTGTAACCTTCCTTTTATAGAGGAAAGTGAAAAAAAAAAAAACGATAAAAAGTGATAAAAAACGATAAATAACGATAAAAATTATAAAAATGATAAATAACGATAAGAAACGATAAAAACGATAAAAAACAATAAAAACCACAAAAAACGATAAAACATAATAAAAATACTGTAAAATACGATGTAAAACGATAAAAATCATAAAAACCGATAAAAATAATAAAAAACGATAAAAACCGTTACAAATGCTAAAAACCGTAAAAACGATAAAAACCATAAAAACCGATAAGAAAACGATAAAAATGATAGAAAAACGATAAAAGCGATAAAAACGATAAAAAACGAAAAAAAAAGCATTTCGTTTAAAATTATTTTTTATTTCATGATAAAAATAAAATTTCGGTACAAACACTCTATTAATCAAAGAATATAATTAACATATACCTAACTATTAACTATATCACAGTAGGTAATAAAACACTCAAATATAATAATATACATAATTGGTTTCGAGCCAGAAAGGAACCTTATCTCCATACAAAATTGGATGTTTTTCTATAAAGCCGTTTTTAAGCTATCGCGCCAATAGACAGACGACAGACAGACAGACCGACATAATGGGGTAACATGATTTTCGTTATCTAGGGAGCCTGAAACGTGAAAATCTAAAATAATCTTGAAAGGTGACTTTTCACGATTACAATACTTCCCTTTTATAGAGGGAAGTAAAAAAAAAGGATAAAAAACGGCAAAAAATTATAAAAAACTAAAAACGATAAAAAAAAACAAAAAAAAACGATAAAACAAGATAAAAAACGATACAAAAAAACGATAAAAACGATAAGAAAAACAATAAAAACGATAAAAAACATTTAAAAAAACAAATGCTTTTTTCATTGTTTTTTTTTTTTTCATTTAAAATTATTTTTTATTTCATGATAAAAATTAAAAACGATATATACGATAAAAAAAACCGATATAAAACGATAAAAACTGTAAAATACGATAAAAACGATAAAAATCATAAAAAATTATAAAAACTGTAAAAAACGATCAAAACTATATAAGCCAATAAAAAACGATAGAAATGATAAAAGAAAACGATAGAAAACGGTAAAAAAAACTATAGAAAACTATGAAAAACGTTAAAAAAAAAAGATAAAGAAAACAGCATTTCGTTTAAAATTATTTTTTATTTCATGATAAAAATAAAATTTCGGTACAAACACTGTATTAATCAAACAATAATAAACATACCTAACTATTAACTATATCACAGTAGGTAATAAAACACTCAAATATAATAGTAATAATATACATATTTAAATAGCGACCTATGAAACACATTTAAATTAAAAAGTACACTATAATACTTATGTGGACAAAGAAAAAAAAATAAGTATATGCCATTTGGAGTATTTTCGTTAACAATAATTTTATATTCATCGTAATTCATGCACAAAAAATGAGTAATATTTCCACTAATTTTTTAATCTCTACCTTTCCCGTTAGTCGACAATTTCGCATTACTCATGCGCGAAAAAAGTGCGGGACTTTTGAATCTAGTAATTTTCCACACAACTTATTTTTTGTCTCGTATCCTCGCTTTATAACTGTTGGGTTGGCTACGATTATTATCCCCTGTAATCGTTAAACAACTGTCATCTAATCTATATAGTGGAGCCAGTGACACTTTATTGGTACACATTTACACAAGGTATTTTCTAAACAGCCTTTAAGCCGAGCTTTAAGTTAAAAATGACATTTACAGGTGGGTCATTGTAACTTGGGATAGGACACATAACAACAACAAATTTTTTTGATTTGAACAGGAAGTAAGATTTGCCATGAGTAACAGAGATCAATAACGAGAAAGGTATATTGTAACAAACTAAAAAATTATTAGTGTGTATAGATACATAAATAAAAACTAAGACGAGGGTGTTTGGTCCTAAACCGTTGACAAAAAACGGTTGAGATGGGAACAGACCAAGCAAACATTGTTGAATAACAGTTGTCAGTTGTTGACGAACATAAACGTACTGGAAATTGATAAACTTTTCGAAAACACAGACCTATCTAGTTTTTTCCTGTTACTTGGTATTCGTTCAGTACGTGTACATACTAACGATGCTGTTGAGACACATTTTCTTTGAAGCACCATCTCGAGAGCGAACATTGTACTCGACAGCAGCGCAAACTCCTATGTTACCCAACTGTTGTTTAATAATGTTTGCTTAGTCTATTTCCATCTTTAGATACTATACGACATCACAACGTCTTCACAATTTGCAATTATTTCCCTCATAATAAATCTAACCAATGAAATAACTTAAATTTGTAACACGTGACTAGTTTTGATAAGAGAATTGTCTAAACCTCGGACTTCAGAATCTGTAAAATTTTTGACAGCAGTTATTTTATCGCCGCCATGTTAGGTCAAATTTAGCTTAGTATGATAATAAATAGATTGTGCAGTTTTTAAAGTTGACAATATTAATGATAGCAAATCCAATGCAGTTGTTAAGTACAATAATTACTTAACTATTGATTACATTAAAATTTTATTTTTATCTTATTTGTCTACAATAATAGTATATATTAAGTTTAGAATTATTACATGCATCTTTCAATGGCAAATCACAACCAAAATAATTTTAAGGAATTATTAAATTAAATGTCATTAAAATATAAAAAAAATAGGATTTCCTCAGGTTTCTGACAACAAATTTCGTTAATTATGTTATTTTAGGTTTCTAAAAGTGTAAAAATACACTTTTGTGAAAATATAAAAGTTTCGTGTGTATTCAAATTTTAGGTACATCTAATAATGTTTTAAGTAAACGGAACTGGTATGGAATTGAAATGCGGATATATAGTGAGATTCATCATTACATCGATATATCTTTGAAATCACATAATTTTACCATACTTCACTTTTGGCAGTGCAGTTTTTTAATTATTAAAATTTGAAAATAATTAACAATTAGGCATTCCAACGATCTGTCAAAATGCTAACAAGTGGGTACTGACGTTTAGATATGGCAACCCTGTGGCTTGCTGTTATTGACAAGGTCAATGATACTTATATAGTTATATAGATTGCTAAAAGCGGGTCCTTTTGCGAGCGGCCATATTGCCTCCCAAGTGCTCATTAATCAGAATCAGTTTAACAAAAATGTGTTTTAAAACCAATTATCAACCTTTAAATATAGTAAAAAAATAATTACCTACATTTTTACTTCAAGGCATAAACTTATGTTTATTTTGAAAAACGTGGTTGATCAATTTATATAACTACTATCTATTTCATTGACTCTGTCAAATAAC